AGGGAGATGATGATCCTCTCCTGCCCCACCTGGAGAAGGGAGATGATGCTCCCCTGGGCTCACTCCACCCCCTGCTCTTTGCTGCACATTTGGGGTGTCCCCCCTTCCCTGTCCCTCCTGAGATCAGCCCTGGGCTGTTTCATGGAGAATAATTCTGTTTGATCTACGAGAAGATGAATGTTGAGGAGGAGGGAATTAAAAAGAAATGATAAAAAAGAAGCAGCCCCAATCCCTCTTGGTTATTGAAGTGGGAAGGGAACACTTTGTCAAAGTGACACCAGATCCTTTATTAACCCTTTCTGGCCTGGAGGGTGTCAGCATTTGTATTATTACAGAATATCCTGAGCTGGAAGGGACCCACAAGGATCCAGTCCAAGCCCTGGCCCTGCACAGACACCCCAAATCCCACCCTGTCCCTGAGAGTGTTGTCCAAACACTTCAGGAGCTCTGGCAGCCTTGGGGCCATGACACTTCCCAGATCTTCTGAGAGAGCAGGACCTCAGATCCACTCAATGAAAGGCTTTTTTTATCCTAAATATCTTCCCCTAACCCTGTTCAGGTTTGTGCTTCCCTTGTGCCCTGTCCTGCCACTGAAAGGCTGCAATGCTTTTTCAGGGCAGCCTGGCAGGATTTTTTAGCAGGAATTTTTAGCAGGAATTGCCTGAAGGGAAAATACTGCTTTTCCTCAGGTCGGATCTTCATTCCTTTGCCCTCGAAGCATTTGGGGAACAGAAGGCTGAGCTGCACCCTGGAACTTGCATTTTTGGGACCCCCATAGAGAAAGGTGCCTGTTGCTCTGTAGCTTTGAGAATCCATCAAGGGACAAAGCCCAGAATCTCTATTTTGTGAGCATCCTGCCAACCCTGAGGTGGTTTGTGTCCTCCAGAGAGCAAGACTGGAAAGATTTCGGGGACTGAGTGACACGTGCCAAAGTGCCTCTCAGTGGTTTTCCCCCTGTTAAGATATTTCTTGGACAATATTTTATATTAAGGTGCCTTTAATGGATCTCAGGCAATCCCAAGGATTGTGTGTTAGACCAGCCTGCCCTGATAACCTGGATTTCCTTTGCCACCTGATGGCCATCTCTGCTCCTGCCCCTCCCTGGGGCTGCTTCTCTGCACCCGGAGCTCTTTGGTGTCAAACAGATGCAGTTCCACACCCTTGACTCGCCCTCCCCTCCACAGGGTTTGTTATTTGATTAACTCCTCTTCCTCTCCCCTTCCCCTGATGCCTGCAGGGGGGGAAATAAGTTGCTTTTCCTGGGAAAAGCAGGGAGCAGAACATCAGCCTGCTTTGAGATCCCGCCGCTTCAGCTCGTTGAATTCTCGGGGTTTAAGCTCTTTATTTCTTGTTTTGCTGCACTTATAAGAGGCTCTCCTGGGGCTCTGTTGTACAACAAATACAAATAAAACATGAATAAAGCGATCTGACTGCTGGCATTCCTCAAGGATTACTCCCAGAGAACATTTTGGGGCTGTTTAGTCATTTTGATGTGTCCCTTCTCCAGCTTTTCCTAGAAACACTTGGGAGATGTTGCCCTCTGGAAAGAGGCTTCTTCAGTCACAACAGTAAATTTTGGTTTTTCTACCTGTTTCCTGTATCCACTTGAGTTTCTTTCCCTGCTTTCCCTCCCCAGTTGTGATTAATTAATACGGTTTTTGGGATAGTTCAGTTATGGAAGTGATGGATGCACAGTTATTCCTTGTCAGTGCTGCCAGGGGTTGTGGGGCAGGTACTGCCTGGGGGGAAAACACCCAAATTTGGTTAAAAACAGCCAAACCCAACCAACAAATACAAGACAATTGGTGTGAATTATGAAATATTTTAAAAAATTGAAATTAAGGAAAAATGAACCAAAACTAGCAAAAAATGAGCACAAATAAATGGGGTTAAGGGAAGAAAAGTGGGCAAAAATGATATTAAAAATATATATAAATTTAATAAATATTGTTTAAAAGTACTAAAGAAACCCAGAATTGGTAAAATGGTTAGAAAGGACAAAAAGGCCAAACTAAAATCACAAGAGAGTATAAAACTTAATAAAAAGAACCCAAAAGCCACAAAAATGATAGAAAATGGATAGGATCCAGGCTGGGATCCAGGCTGGGCCCAGCTGAGGAGCCTGGAGCTGCTGTGGGTTTGTTGCTGTGGATTTGCTGAGGGCTCTTTCCCTCTGGCTGAACTGTCCCATTTTATAGTTTACAGTGTGTGGGGATGGCAAAGGAGTTAATCAAAGAGCACTTCTGCTGGGAAAATTGCTCTGTAAATAAATTCCAAAAATAAGTGAAATAAAATTCCAAAAATAAGCTAAATAAAATTCCAAAAATAAGCGAACTAAAATTCCAAAAATAAGTGAAATAAACCATCAGTGGGAGCTGAAGGGGAAGGAAAAGCTGGAAACAAGCGGATGTCACGGTGGGAGTGGATTTGTTCTGTGGCCAAGTGCTTGTGTGGAGAGTCCTTTTGTCCCCAGGAGCTTCTCTGGAGGGCAGCCCTTGGAGGGCAGATCAGAACAACTCCAAGGACAGAAGCTCTGGGAGTGCTGTCACTGTTCAGGTTGGATACTGGGCAAAATTCCTCCATGGAAAAGCTTGTCCAGCCCTGGCCCAGCTGCCTGGACAGTGGGGGAGTCCCCAGCCCTGGAGGGATTTAACAGCTGTGGCTGTGGCCCTTGGGGACAGGGGGCAGTGGTGGCCTGGGCAGTGCTGGGGGATGGCTGGGTTTGATGATCTCAGAGGGCTTTTCCAACCTGGATGAGTCCATGTTCCTATGGAAGTCACCAGTGCCAGATGATCCAGCTGGAGGAACAAAAACATCTGTAACTAATGGGGACATTTTATGCCTGGGGAAGCAAATCAAAGAGAGTTAAATTTCCTGGTTATTTGCCCATTAAGTTAAAGCTCCTGTAAAAACGAAGTGCCTGGGAAATCCAGGAGGAATATCAGTCATTTTGTGGGATAAGGTGGCTCAGCTCCGATGCTGGAGAGTAAATGCCTTGAAAGAACAAGTGAGGAGGCTCCTGCTTTGGTTCAGTCTCTGGAATAAAGGAATGATTTCATCTCTTTTTTCCTCTTTGAAGTCCCAGGGCTGGAACATCCCTGTGCCAGAGTGGGATCCTAATGGGATTTTGTCCTTGATTCCAGGAGCAGCGCACGGTTTACAGGCTGACCCTGGTGAAAGCTTGGAATGTGGATGAACTCAAAGCTTATGCTGAGCTGATATCCCTTGGAAAACCAGACTTCATCGAGGTCAAGGTGAGCTGCCTGGAGCTGTTCCCTTTTTTCCATCGTTTTTTTTCCACTTTTTAAGTCTCCATTTCCCCCCCTCTTTAGTCTTCAGCTTTCTGAGTAAAACTCTCCTCAAGATTTCAGTGACCTGTAAGGAACTTTACTCTTCCTTTTAATGTTGGTTCATTGGTAATAATTAATAATCAGTATTTTCTAATGTGCATTTGGAGTAGGTTTCAATGGGCCACAAGTTAAGTTTTGTGCCAGCCAGCCTTGATTTCTGCCCAACACAATTTCTGTGTTTCTCATGGAAACAGGGACTGATAAATAGATATTCCTTCTTCATGTCAACCAGCTCTTTGAGCAAATTAGTCTGGGACAAGCTGGCAGTTTGTGGTGTGATTCTTCCCATCCTGGTGTCAAATTTTGCCAGGGAAAAAGGTGATAATA